TAAATCGGTTTAATCCCAAATTTTTATTAACAAAGTATTTCATATGTATTAAAATGATTGATCTACTGTTCAGCATAAATTTATTTGTCCTTATTAAGTAAGTTATTGAATTATTACCCGAGATTAACAAACTTATTTTCAACTTTAATACTTATAAATTCCCAATTCAATTCTATATTGATTCTATTTGATTACTCTAATTATACTTGATAGTTATTCGATTATCTGTTTTAAAACAAAAACACATACACATTTCATCTCAGTTGATTGATTCCCCACGGGATTTTTAAGCCGATGAGTTCCATATCAGATTCCAATTCGTTCTCTAATTTATCGACTCCATCGAATTCATTTCCGGCCGATAATTCCCAACGGGAATCTTTCGCTTTTGATGATCTTTCAAACATTGAATGTGTTTGCCCAATTTGCAATGAATCTATGATTTCGATCCTCCAACTTAATAGGCATTTGGATGATGTGCATATAGATACTTCTGCTGACCAAAGAGATGGTATCATTCAATGGTTTAAGAAAGCTCAAACTACTATTTTGAATCCATTATCTTCAAAGACAAAAAATATTGCAAATTTACCCCAAATTGCCATTAACAAACTTAATGATCTTGACGCTAATTGGTTGGATTCTCAATCTGATCTTGTAACTAAAATTCATTGGCAAATGGAAGGCGAAAATGATATATGCTCTAATTCTTCATGTGATAAGTTTTTAAACTTGAGGAATGGAAAACATAATTGTAGAAAGTAGAATCATTCTTTTTTTTTTTTTAATTTATCAGCATAATTTTTTGTATTAAATAGTTTAATTCTATATAGGTGCGGAAAACTTTTTTGTGATTCTCACTGCCGTGTACCTATGAAATTGAATAAGCAAGCACTATATGATCCTGCTAATGGTTATTGGTGTAGAGTATGTGATGATTGTTTTCAATCTCGTGAAGGTTATTTAGATACCGAAGGTATTCCTATTTATTTATCTATTTATCTATTTATCTATTTATCTATTTATCTATTTATTGTATTTAATATTTCTCACCAATATACAAAAATACAATGAATGATATTAAAATATACAATGAATGATATTAATTTTTTCTGAATTAAATTAGGTGTGGTAAGAAGTCACACTACAACATTCATCAAAAGCAGAACAAAGGGCATTGAAAGGGCGCATTTAGAAGGAAATCGTTTGGAAAAACGTTTGGAAAAGGTTTATTAAAAAAAAAGCTTATTAAAACAATTGTTATTTATGCTATTGATAAATTAAAAATAACAGAATTTTTTATTTTTATTTATTTGTTATTATTATTATTTTTTGGTACATTCATTTAGCTTGCCAAAGTTTATGCTACTAATGCAAACCCTGAAAATAACCCACAAGGTGGATTAAAACCTCCTTTATCTATGATGCATAGAAGAAGAGGTAAAATATGAATTATGCGCCACAAATTTAATTTTTGTGGGTTTAATATTATTTATTTTCGGTTAAAAAAATTGTTTAATTTGATTTAATAACAAATAGCTTCTGAACAGTCTGTTGTTAAATGGGAAGATGATGCATCAGTGACAAATTGTCCTTTATGCGAGTATGTAAAATAATAATAATAATAATAATAATAATTATAAATCTATTATTTTATAAAATTACTAAAAATTATTTTTAATTTATATAAATCAATTGTTCGTTCAGCATTCAATTTGGCAAGATAACAAACCGCAGGCATCATTGCCGTTTATGTGGACGCGTAGTTTGTGAAAAATGTTCTTCTAAAATTTCCTTGAATTTAACAGGTAACTGCTCAGATATTTGATTTATTTAACTCTTATTAATCATTCTTATTTTTTTAGAATCAGCAGACCAAGATTCTGTTGGTGAAGTCAGGGCATGTAAGCAATGTAGAGATGCTGTATTCAGGTATATCAAAAGGTGTGATAAATAATAAAGTCATAATCTTGTGCTTTTTTTGTGATTATTGATCATTTATTGTATTTATTAATAGGAGAAAAGAATATAATGAAGAAATTTCAAAGACTCCACCAGTCGTCATGTTGTATCAGGTTAATTTTGAATGAATAATTGGTGTTAATATTAAACCTATGTCTAATAATCTAATCATATCAATAATAGAAATTAATGAAAATCAAGACCGCAATTGATACTACATTGCCAAAGTTTCAAGACATGCTTATCATGTTAAAGTTACAATATCACTTTTTATATATTTTTTTTTCATAAATTAATCTTAATTAAATTTTAATTAAATTAAAATTATATTTTTGTACAGGAGTCAAGAAATAGTTAATCAGACACATGCCGATTATCAGCTCGCAGCACGAACGCGAAAAGAACTTTTGGATAATTTTGCTCAATTTGATTCGATTAGTAAAAAAATTAATTCATTACTTTCGCGTTCCAAGTCCGAAAAACGATTACAAGCCAATATTCATTTAGCAGCAAACCAATATCTTCAACAAAATATGTTACCACTTAAAGTTTTACCAAAACTTCTTAAGAAAGATCATGACAATGAACATGAATATGATTACCATCACGAATCATCACCAGATATGCTTCTTTCAGTGTTCGAGAATGGTAGAACTCGTTCAATTTCTACATCTTCCACTAAATCGTTAAAAGGTGAAGAAAAAATTAGAGAACAATTAGAAGTACTTTTGGAACAAGAAAAATTAGTTCAAGGTTATATCGTAGAGGCGACTAAGCAACGTAAATTTGATGACGTAAAAACTTTAAAGACTTCATTAGATGAATTAAAAGTAGAAATTAACAAAACAAGAAAGGAGCTTGGTGATTTATGGGCATGACAAGTTTTTTTTTTGTCTTTCGTATGTTTAATAAGTTTTAATGGGCATTGCGTTAATTATTTTTATTTTATATTTTGATAATATTTTTGAAATCTTTTTTTCAATATTATTACTATATAATTAATCTATTGTGTTTTCTTTTTAACATTATATTCGTGAGGAATATTATATTCATGAAAGATTTGTCTATCCTATATGAAAATATTTTTTTATAAGCAAGGATTTCAATTACTTCATATGTTTTAATTCTTGGGGCAACACATGAAGTATATTTAACTCTGAACTATTATGAATGAAAAAAAAACAATTCTAAGATTTACATTAAATATTACATAATATAATTTTTTATTTTTTTTTTTCGTCTTTTTTTTCTTTTTTTTTTTTTTATTATTTAAAACAAATGCATAGTTTCTTTTTATAGTTACCTTTTATGAATAATATATGCAATGTATAAGCTTCCTTAGTCATGTATATAGTTTATGAAATTGTAAGACCTTCAGAAATGTAAAATAATAAGAGTATATATATGTATACATACACATACTTATATAATAAAGTCTAATAGAGTGATTTGGAAGACGTTTATGATAAAGATAATAAAATTATCAATAATAAAAACATTATAATAGCCACATTTATTAGTCACATTGTTATTTATAACAAAATTTAAGCGAATACTAGTATATCGATAAATTTTATAAAGGATTATACTAATTTTTTCTTTAATCACAATCATAACCAACTCGTATAGTTACTTTTTTTCCTACATAAGGATACTTCGTTTAAGCTAAAAAAAATTAGCATACTTGTCCTAGCCACCACGTAGAGGTGTATCCTACGACTAAGTATATATATAACAACCTGTAAGTTGTATCCAATAATGGACGTATGGACGTAAGCATGAATGAATAAATCATTCAAGAAAAACTCATTCTAAAGTTACGTACTAACGGAGGATATAATAAAAGTAAAATCCGTATCGACGTTAAATATAAATATTTTGCAAAAACCGGAAAGCTTTGTGTGAAGAGAAAAAATAAAATAAAATATATTGTTTTAGCATTGGAAGCACGACACAATGTTTGCCATTCGGATTCTACAGGATCAATTTCGACCACGGGTTTAGTAAGACCGGTCTTGGCAAGACACTTTTATCTTATTACCCCGCTGCCAAAGCCCCACAAAAAACAAAGCTTTCAAGGTCTTTGGAATTAAAAACTTTTTCTATTACCGATTATGAATAACGGGAATTTCTGTTTCCCTTTTATAGATAAGAAGAACGACTACATAAATCAAAATAAAATACAATACTTACATTTGATTGTGTTTGAAAAAACTCTTCATACAAAAACAACTAATTAACTTTCTCTCTAAAACTTGTTTTGCCCTAAATCATCAAACCAAATTTAAGTTAACACGGTTCTAGACAGTTGACAATTTATACACATACCAAGCCAATATTGTCAACATTAAACTCGAAATTTCGGTTATGAAACTGCCTTCTGCGTATTAATAAAAAGTTTTCCTTGTAAAATTTTGGTATAAATATAGCCATCCAAACCCAACCTACTAGCAATGCCCTAATCCTAATCTACGCATTACATTCATAATACACAATTGCTCATAATAAACCATTGCTAACAACTTCGCTCTAATACATAAAATCCTACATGCGTGCTTACGCTAAACAAGTCTACATACATATAATTCAACGTACGCCTTTGATCAACCACTTGATCTGTAAAAGATATATAAACTAAGTTTATTCATTAGAAAAAAATGCTAAAATAAAACTCCAATGTTCAACGTTTGAATAAAAATATTGTAACCAGTATTTACGAAAAAAAAGTACTAGAAAAAATTCTTTGCTTCGACATGTATTTCAGTCTGGGAGTATACCAAATTTGGT